GGGATCTCCCAGCCGGGACTTGGGGTGTGTGAGTGTCTGAAGTTCTCGCCCGCCTGCCGAGTCCCTTTGGTGATGGGGCGAGGACCACTGTAACAGGGCGCGGGGTGGGAGGAAGATGGAGGAAGCGCTGGGCTTGAGGACAAATGGGAGAAGGGGGGCGCTGCTGGTGTGAGGCGGTGGGTGTCAGCCTTCACCCTTTAGGAAGAGCGAGGGCTGGGGGGCGGGCGGGGGAATGACAGGCAGTCTGGCTGAAGTTGCTGTCATATGGGAAAGCAAAATCAGTGTTCCAGAGTAATAGGAGAGTGACTTCAGGGCCACAGATGCTAAAGATCAGGGGGAACCAAAAAAATATGCATTAGCTTTATGGATTGAAATCATTTCTCCGGCAGCATAAATATGGAAAGGTGGGTGACAAGCAGGTGGAAGGAACCTCTTTTCTTATTAAAGAAATGGAAACTGGAGTAAAGACCCATGGCCGGCGAAGACGGAGTCCCTTGGTTACTATGACACGTATTGCAATTCTAGGGTTAGGGAATCCTAAGGCAGCTGTGAATCCTGTTATACTCGACCTATTGAACTCCTCACAGGTATCTGAGGTTATATTTCCATGTAAACCAACCCGAGATCTGACCTCAACTATCACGAATAACAGCAATAATAAGAACACAGGGAAATATGAAGAGTTGCAAATGAACAAGCCCATCCCATTAAAATAAAAAAAAAAAGAGTGTCTTGCTAAGATCACTTCCTGGTAAAACCAAACAAGAGACCATTGCTAGGAGAATAAATTTCAGTTATTTACCTTGGAGGTGAAAGCGGCCTCTACTTCCTCATTCTTCTGTTTTGTCCCCTTGGGAACCCCGCCGCAGTCCAAATGGTCAAAGTTGCTTTTGCTTTGGCACTTGGATAACTATGCTTATCCCATTCCTCCCTGCACAGCATCATCTGCCCAGCCACCCTCACCTACTAGTTGAAATTTGTCTATTGAAATTCTTTTAATCATTCTCATCTTAGCTCAGATGCTTAAAAATTCCTCTCTAAATACCTCCTAGGTTTCCCTAACCAGAATGAGTCACTCAAGCACTTCGTGATTTGGGTCTATAGTCAGCCCTTAGAGCATTTGTTTTATGCTTAATATTTACCTGACTGACTCCTGTGCTCTGTGCAAAGCTCCTTCAACTTCCAAGCAGCCACCCATCCCCTCTGTAAGCGCTGTATCTGTGTTTGAAATGAGTTGAACCTTTAACAGTGGGCTTCACGTGGAACATGGTCTCCTCCACTGATATTCATTGTGAAGCATGAGTCTTCCTCTGAACTCCAGAAACAGAACTTCCTGAGAAAGTCTGGATCGTCCCCCTATGTGGTCCACAATTTAGGAAGATGACTCGTGGCTTCCAACCTCGGTTATGGGAGAGCATAGAGTTGGGGGAACGAGGAGCCCAACTGCAGAGATTCCTGTAGTTTTCTGCAAAGAGGTGCTTTGTAAAGTGCCTAGGAATTAGTGCTATACACAGAGTGAATAAGTACGCAGACTTTTTCAGAACAAAATGTGTGGATGGCGTTCTTTTATCCTGTGGATCCCAAGTTTCCCATGACACTGAGGCAAGGTGAATCATGGAGGTTATTATGAACACTAACATCTGGCAGGCGAATATTTTAACTTCCATCTGATCTTTTCTTCAGATTTATTAACATCAATATGACCATTTTCACTTTACAGATGAATGGATTCAGGTACAGATATTGTGGCCTTTTGGGCTTGCCCCTTGCATGGGTGTTGAAGCTGTGGGATGCAGCTAACGTCCGGCATCTTCAGGTGAGCTTTGGCTAATTCACTTTAAGCAGCATCGTCTCCCAGTTATAAGTGCGTTGAAATAAAACAGGAGCTACAGTGGACCAATGCTAATCGCTGGCAGAAAGGGTGAGTGGCAGATGGCACTATGAAAAATGAAGCGAGGTCCTGGCCAGGCAGCTCAGTAGGTTGGAGCGTCGTCCCTGTATACCGAGGTTTGATCCTGGGCCACAAGAAGTAACCAATGAATGCATGAATAGGTGGAACAACAAATTCATATTTCTCCCTCTTCCTCTCTTTAAAATCAACAAATAAAAATTAAAAAAAGAAAAATGAAGAGAATCTTGTTTTCTGGGAACTAAAAATGGATAGGCCCAATTATTTATTTCTCCTTCAACATGTGAAGATGTTACAAAGTTAGTTATAAATAATGCATCTAACTGTAGAAGGGATGAGCTATATGTTATGTGATTGTACATTAAAAACCTTTATGAGCGTGGCAAGAGACACGTACACCAACAGCTGCTAAATTCAGAATCCTGGAGCAGTATCTTATTTTATGTAAAAGAAGAACAGTGCTCTGGGGATTTTCTGCTATATACAAAGATATTAAATCTACATGAGATTTTACTCGTGATTTCAAAGCACTTATGAAAATCTGTTTTTTTTATTTGAATATCTTTCAACCAAACTACCAGCCACACCACTTAAAACAGAGATGACGTTTTCTAGACTAGATTTCCCAAGGCAGGGCCTGCCTCCCTTTCTTCCTCCCCCTCCTTCTTCTTTTTCATTCTTTAACAGCTAGGCCAGAGCCTTGCACTTTGTGTTGAGTGCATGTTGAATATTGAACATGGAGTATCACCCTTATTTTATGGCAGAAGAGGAACAAAGTCATAAACCTCTGAAGAGCAGAATCAGGAGCTCATTCTCTCCCAGCCGTGCTCAGAAACTTGTTACTGTAGGATCAGTGATTGGAGCTGTGTCTTGGGGTGACTTCAAGTGCCACCTAAGACTAGAAAGTCAGCCAACATGATAAGGAGAATCTCTGCAAGAATTGTATGTCTTAAGATCAGTAACTTCAAGTTCTGAGCCTCAGAGCCTAAGGTATATACTCCATTGTCTTATAGAGGGATAAAGTGCAAGCAATTAAAACAAACCAAGATATTACATGACATCCCTTGACTGAAATCTTTTGTCGATGACCTGTTGTATTGATTATCTCTTAATAATTGGGGCAAAGATGTCCAAGAACTAACTGCAGTTCATTCAGCAACTGAGCACATGCAGATCTCTAGCCCACGGGCTTACAGAGAACGTGGGTGATTTCATTATTCCTCCCTTCACCCCGGCCCTTCCTTCGTATGGTTTTGGCTGAGAGCTCAGATGCAGATTTCCTGAACCAGTTACAAGGCAAGATGTGTATTATAGTGATCCACGAGCTCTGCTAGAACCAGTGTTTGCCCCAGCATTTGGGGAGAGAGCAGCTGTGATGGTACAGAAACAGACACCAAACTTAAGCTGCAAATTTTTTTTGCACAATTGACCAGCAGTCATAGGCCACACCGATAAGAAAGCCAAAACCACAGATTTAAAGCGGGCAGTAGAATGTGGAAATACTCTTTCTGCAATTGCTTTGAATCCACAACATCTCAGAGTGACAGGGATTTTGCCCGCAGAGCTGCCAATGAAGATGTGGCTGGGAGTCTTCCTTTAGTTCAGTGGTTCTCAACCTTCTGGCCCTTTAAATACAGTTCCTCATGTTGTGACCCAACCATAAAATTATTTTCGTTGCTACTTCATAACTGTAATATTGCTACTGTTATGAATCATAATGTAAATACCTGATATGCAGGATGGTCTTAGGCGACCCCTGTGAAAGGGTCGTTTGACCGCCAAAGGGGTCACGACCCACAGGTTGAGTACCGCTGCTTTAGTTGGTTTATCCAGCTCTACAGGAGCCTCTGACAGTAACTGGATTTTTAAAACGTTTAAAATACCAAAGCCAAGTTCTGAGAACAGAAGTTTCCCCAGAAGTTCACTACTAGTAAAACCTTGTATTTTTAAGTGGGAAGCATTATTGCTACCACATCTGCTTATATACAGTTTTGCTCTTACCCTGAAGGACAATTTTAGACAAAGTGAAACTGACAAGGGGAGTAGAGATGGGGCTCTTTCTCTGTCCTCTATACCAGTTTCTCAACCCCAAACCCCAGGGACATTTGGCTCCTCAGAAAACATTTGACAGTGGGGAATGTGTTGATTGTCTCAGCTAGGGCATGGGGGACTGAGGGCATGTGGTGGGCAGGGCCAAGGATTCCATTAAACATCCTCCAGCCCCATCCCCACCCCCAAGCAAAGAATTATTCAGCCCAGGATGTCAATACTGCTGAGTTGGAAAAAAACCCTGCCTTAGCCCACCGATTCTAACAATCCATGATATGCAAATTGTTGGTAATTGTTTGAATCAAGTCCCGAGGGCTTTCCGTCACCATTTTGTGGTTAGTCCCAGAGCTGCTCTTACTCATGTATTAACACGTGGCTTTCTGTTGTTTATCAGATACTGGGTCCATACTCTTTGCTTGGTCAAAGACACTCCTAACACCAGCTATTTCGCCTCATCTAAGAGCCTGGGCTAGGCGACCAGGCACAACGGGCAATAAATCAATTACTACAGAACAGTTTGGGAAGACATGACTTTAAGGTGATCAGGAATGCCCTTCTGATGTTAAAAAAAAAAAAAAGCAAACCCCTTCACACACAGGCACACCTCCACCGCCTCTATTGTCAGAATTCTTTCCTGTAGGACAATGTTTTCAAATTAAAATCCTCGGACCCTCAGTATAAAAAAGCTCAGAGTTTTTGCTAAAAATGCCAATTTCTCAAATGGGTGAATACTCTGGGTGTGTATAACCCAGGAATCTGCATCTTTCCAGTGCTCCTCAGATGCATGCCACATTGGACAGTCACTGTTCTAAGACGAGGACTCTCATCCTTTTCCTCTTCCCTGCACACCTGGGGGGATGTGTCTGCGGAACTCCTTGGCCATGTGGCAGAAACATCCTCTGGCTAGCAGGAGCCCAGGGACCATCGAGGGAAAGGAGTTGATGTTCCAGAATAATCCAGAGACATGTAGGGAAGGACTCTGCAGCTAGCTTCATTATTTCCCATGCTGACTGTTTGCTCACACATGAGAGAGTGAGATAAATAGGATTTATAAAATAGAGGAGAGAAAATTTGATACAGTCTGGGCACAGTGGAACTTGTATCTCACATTTCTGGGGCAAATTGATTAAGTGGACGGTAGCAGAGGAGTTTGTCCTGGGTCCCTAAGGGGCCAACACACAGTTCGTTAGGAATTCCCCAGAAAACAGTGAGAGTTTAGCTGTGGAGCAGAGGTGACAGGTTGTCTTTGTACAATGTCAGTCAATAACCTGTCATTGGTGCTGCCACTTAAATGAGATCAAGCCCACACCCCATTCTTCCGTAGCCACCCTCACTGGAAAGCCTTTGGGAAGTTAGGTTCCTCCCTCCCTCCATCCCAGCCCAGGAGACTTCTCCCCCTGCTTCCGAGCATTGATTTCAAGCTTCTCTTGCTCTGAGGATCAGCTTTACCAGCTCAGTCCTGGGGATATGACTGAACTTGGCACCCTCAGCACAGGTTTATGTTGCCTTGACACTACCATCAGGCAGAAAGCAAGTATTCTTTTTGGATTCCAAATTCAAAGTCTCAGGAAAGAAAGGATGATTGCACAGCATGGTCAAGGTTCCATCATGACTCACACAGGGATGGAAAAGTAGTTCAAGGTCAAATAGTTCAAACGTTGCTACAGGGGCTAACATTAGTGGGTTTGGAGTATCAATCATCATAAGAGAACCGAACTGACTAGTACCTAAAATGTATCTACCATGAAATGATACACCAAAGGGCTGGGCTCCTTTGAGAGGCGTGTAGTAAGCACTGCATTGGATGGTGGGTCCTTGAGGTGGTGGAGGTTAAGAGACAGGGAGAGGGAAGGAGGGAGGTTGGCACACATCATTCAAAAATACCCAGCATTGCATGCTGACTCCTCTTCCTTATCAGTCTTTGGAAATTATTCCTATGATAGAAATTACTAAATTTGCCTAATTATAAGAATCACCTAGAAGGGCTTGTTAAAAGTATACAATGTGAGACTGGAGACCCTACCTTAGATTTACAGAGGTAGAATAGGAATGGGGATACAAAGAATTCATATTTTTAAATGTCATTTTGATTATGCAAAATTGGACAATTGCCTTTAGAGAGATGACCTATTTAACATATTACCAGCTGCTTACAATAGAACATAAATTAGTTTTCTAGAAAGCGAGTTTGATAGGGAGAGAGAGAGGCGAGGAAAAAAGGTATGCTTGAGTGGAGTTATAGAGCTGTGCTATCCAGTATGGTAGCCACATGTGGCTAGTGAGAATTAAAATTCAGTTCCCTAATTGCACTATCCACATTCCCGGTGTTCAGTAGCTACGAGTGATAGCTATAATATTGAGCAGCACACATAGGGAGTACCCCCCCAATGTTGCAAAAAGTTCTATTGGGCAACATTGTAGAAGCAGCTAGCCAAGAACAGAGAAAGATGCTACAATAGTCATTTCTGGGGTCCCTGGTCACAGGCCTATGCAGAGTAGGTAGGTGACCATGGTGTTGATGATGAAGTTGATGTACTAATGCGAATGATAGTAGCTGACACTTATTGAGCATTATTAGGTGCAAAAGCTTTCTGGTGTACCCCTCCGAACAACCTACACTCTAGCCATGGTACCACACTGTCTCACTAGGTGCCGGATGTGGGTGAAGCCAGCCAGTTGACTGTTGTCATGTGGAATATAGGGTCCCGGGCAGCCAGAGAGTCTGATTTTTTCCAAGGAAAGACAGAATTCTGGAATGTGTGTGTGTGTGTGTGTGTGTGTGTGTGTGTGTGTGTGAAATAACCTGATTTTTACAAACGGCTTAATCTTTCTTAAAACACTGTGAAGTCCAAATAAAATATGTCTGTGAGATGGGTTTAGCTCATAAATGGCAAGGTTTTCACTTTTGATTTAGAAGCTCAAAATTAATTTCCTGATTTTACCTTAGCCCAACCCCGCCCCAGGAATTCAACTTCCATTTTAATGCTGGAGAGAAAAGTACCATTCTTTCTTATCTTAAGTTATCTACTACTATAACCCCTCTCAGACTGGAACAGTCAAAGGCTGATGATGTATTCAAACAATCATATTTATATCTACAGAAATGTATTACACTTTATTTCCTTCATGTTTTCAATAAATATTCATTAAACGTTCAGTAGCACACTGTGCAGGGCAGTGTGGGAAACCTCTATGGGGAAAAATATTCCTAGTCAAATGGAGCTTATAATGCTCTGGACAGAAAAGGCATAATAAAAAGACAGAATAAGTATGATTTATTAATTCATTTGTTTTCTGTATTTTAATCATTACTTTATGAGATTTAAATGTCTTTGGAGGATCTTCCATATTTTGCTGCCCGTTCTTTTCAAAAGCACATTTAAATGGAAGAGGGTGAGAGACTGGTAATGACTCAGGAATGGGAAAGTGGGTAAGAATCTTGACGTTGTAAGAAATCTCCAGGATGTGTGGGTTTCTGCAGAGCTGCGCCCCCTCTGTTGCAATATCCGGAGCGAGCCAGGCACGGAGCGAGCTGGCTGACTTCTGCGGAAAGAATCCTGGAACTTGTCTTGCTGACCTGTTTCTAGACTTTCCAGCACAGCCAGCCAGAGACTTCCTATAGACACGGAGGGAATTCAAAAGCAACAGACGTGGCCCTTCAGCTGTTTGTCTGGGGACCCTTGGGGATGAGACGGAGCTGTTTTCCCTGCAGCTGGACGCCAAGCAGACCAGTGAGAAGGTCCAGGGCGGAAGAACAGGTTGTGCTGTCGGCATACACTGCATCCTGGGCCAGAGCTTTTTAGTAGAGGATTCAGTCAAACCCAAAATACAAGATGGAAATCCTCTCTCGTTGGTCATCTTTTTAAACATAATACAGAGAGAAGAAGTGGACAGAACCATGTTTCCTAAAAAGTCCTTGATGATAAGGATCACCAAGGACACTTAATTCCTCCACTGGAAATGCAGATTAAGGGGCTGAGGTGAAATCAGGAATTTGGTATTCTTGGTAGTCACCAGGGACTTTTAGGGAAAAAAAAAACAGAGAAGGAGAAAGAGTGGTTCTCTCCTGGTAATGGTATGACTCGCCTAGTGCTCATGGTTACCCGCCTAGATGGTAGGTATAGATGGTCCCGAGTTTGAGTCCGAGCTCTGAGGCTATGTTGTAAATTGCTGTGAGACACTGGGCCAGTTACATAGCTTTTCTACATATAGATGCCCTCATCTGTGAAAAATGGGGTTGCAGCATTACTAGCTGCACAGGGAAGTTGAGGAGTTCAAATGACAAGAGGCAAGGAAAGCTCTCAGTGCTGAACTTGGGGGATTCTCAAGCAAACCTCTTTATAGTTAAAAAGCAATTTTATGCACTTTGTCTTCTTTCATTCTTTTAGCAATCATGTGAACAATGTATGATAAAGTCAATGTCATATACTAAATCACCGAGGAAGAGAAAATGTCATATCTGAGGTGTCCAGCAACTTGCTTTCTAAAATGGTCTAATTTTAAAGACAGAATATTTTAAGCCAACATCTCATCCATTTCTCTAATTTTACAGATGAAGAATCTGAGGCCCAGTGAAGGAAACAAATATTTTCAAGGTGAGAGACAGACCAACAGCTGGGACCAGAGCCCAGGTTTTTGTAGACAGATCTGCAGTCTTACCATTGCATTGTTGAGGATGTCAAATTCAATGATAGATATTTTAAATTTGTTAACATTGATATTTAAAAAATCACTTCCTAAATAACTAGTCTGTGTGCATCTTAAAATAAAGCAGTTTACACTTTATACACAGTTTAATTTTGCACCAAAATTCTTTCAGAAACCTTTAAAAAACAGGTTTCTGTGTCCACCAGAGGTTCTTTTTTAATCTTGATAAGGCATAATAACTTGCATATCAAGTTTACCAATAAAATTTTGAGAACTGGCTAATTGAACTTTTAAGTCTTTGAGACTAGATATTGTATATTTTTTTTCTTGTATTCAGAACAATTCCAGCCAGAATTTTAGGTACAGTTTTTACTCAGTGAACTCTTTTGGAATTGAACTATGGTGGAATCAGACTATGGTAAAATGTTTTGATTTTATAAAAATCTGTGAAGCACATGTATGGATGAGTCATTTCCAAAGATATCATTTACAAAATTTGAACTGAATTAGAAGCACAATTCTCTGGCCAGATATATGTGTCTGTCTGGAGAATATATATATATTTTAGAGGCCCAGTGCATGAATTGGTGCACAGGTAGGATCTGTCCAGCCCTGCCCTAATCAGGGCAGATCCGGGCTGGGCCTGTCAGAAGGAGGTTGGCCAGCAGACCCTTCCCCCGAATGGGGTGTAGGAGGCTGATGGGGGTCAGCAGCTGGGGGAGGGGCCGTGGGAAGTTGGCCAGCCAGCCCCACCCCCAATTGGTGTGTGTGTGTGTGGGGGGGCAATCAGGGGCAGAGCTGGCTGCAAGAGGTTGGCCAGCCATCTCCACAACTTATTAGGGTAGGCGGGTGATCTGGGGTGGGGCCGGCCGTGGGGAAGGGCTGCTGGCCAATCAGGGTGGTGGGGGCCCATTGGGGGTGGGGCAGGCCAGGGGGAGGGGCTGCAGGAGGTTGGCTGGCCAGCCCTGCCCCCAATCAGTCCAGTTCTCTGGCCGCTGTGGGCGTCATAGTGATTAGTCGTTCCGGTATTCCAGTAGCTGGCTTTTTATATAGAGAGATGATTTGAAGATATAGGATTTTATGCATTTCTTAAATTCATGGGAAAACTGTTCTCCAGGAATATGATGCTGCTCTGAACCTGTGTTGTACAGTACGGGAGTCATCAGCACATGTGACTATTGAGCTCCTGCAACATGGCTGGTCTGACTGAGATGTACTGGAAGGGTAAAATACACACTGAAGTCTGAAGACTTAGTTAAAAAAAAAAAGAAAGACAGGAAAGTATCTCATTAGTAATTGTTTATATTGATTACCTGTTGCAATGATGCTCTTTTGGCTATATTGGATTCAATAAAATATATTATTTAAATGAATGTCACCTATGTCTTTTTTTACTTTTTAATGTGACAATTAGAAAATTTAACATTTCCTATGTGGCTTGCATTATATTTCTATATGATAGCACTGCTCTAGATAAGGATGAGCTGTGTCATGAATCTGTAAAGGCAATGAGAGAAGTGAGTATTCATTTTGTAGGATTGGGCCTCTGTGGAGACAGAAGCTGACACTGCTGGGAGGAATGAAACTGATCACTGACTGCATTCTTAATTAATCTTGGAATTCGAAAGCTACTTAATCCACAATGAGCCCACTGACTAAATTTTTGGCAGAAAAATACTGCCATTTCATTTACAGAATAAAATATTGAGTCATCAAAGAGACCATTAGTTTGGGGGTGCAGAGGAACAGGGAGAGAAGAAATAATCAAGAAAGCAAAACATCAATAGAACTTAACCATTAAATATCTTTTATAAAATTTGCCTAGTTTGGTACCATTTAATAGCAAATACAGCTAAGTAACTTAATATATATGTTAAGTATATATATTATTACTTACTGGCAAGATGAAACCTATATTTCTATTTGTTTCTCCAGTCAGTGACACACTGAGGCAATTTTGTGGTTTACCATAAACTAGGCTTTGGTTCCTATAGCACAATTTTGGGAAGTTTACTTTTCTTTGATAAGAATTTCCCTCTCATTGATACTTGAATAAATAGAAGCATTTCTACTGCTATATTTCTTTGACCCTTCTTGTCAGGGCTAGTACTATACTCTGCATATAGATTGAGTCTACACTGATACTGATATTTTCTGATCAAAATAAATTCAATAAGCAAATCTTTCATATGGTCAGTAACTTATGGAGAGTTTTTAAAACTTACCCTTACCGTGTATTATAAAAAATACAATTTAGACCCTGGCCTGTGTGGCACAGTTGCTTGAGCACCTAAAGGTCTCCGGTTTGATTCCTGGTCGGGGCACATACCCAGGTTGTAGTTTGTTCCCTGGTTGGGGCACATGTGGGTGGCAATCCACTGATATTTCTCTCTCACATGGATGTTTCTCTCTCTCTCCCTCCCTCTCTCGCCCTCTCCCTTCCTCTCTCTCCAAAGAACACAAAACAAAACAAAAATTTAGGAGCAGCCAAATGGAAGATATGTATAGGGGAAGGTGCAGTGGGAGAGGGATCAATGGAACTTTCATGCCCTTTCTGGATACACTACCCTCCCAAGCACTTTGATGTGTTTGCCAATCCACTTTATATTATTACTTTTAAATTCTGTTCAAAATAAT